TACAGCCCCACCTCACCTTCTTACAGCCCCACCTCGCCTTCATATAGCCCCACCTCACCAAGTTATAGTCCAACTTCTCCATCATATAGTCCCACTTCTCCTGCATACAGTCCTACCTCCCCTGGTTACAGCCCAACATCTCCCAGTTACAGCCCAACATCACCATCATATAGTCCTACATCACCAAGTTACAATCCCTCGGCTAGATACAGCCCCTCCCTTGCATATTCGCCAACCAGTCCAAAGCTGTCTCCTTCTAGTCCATACAGCCCGTCATCTCCAAGTTACAGGTAAATAATCTTTAATTTGACACAGGTGTTTTTATTCTTTTGCCGAGGCAAGAATTGTTCTTAATTTGGCTATGTTTGATAATAATTCACGACTTTTGTAGCATCTACCTAATTAGGTTATCTGTGGTTTTTGAGTCTGCTTCATTAGAACTAATTGGTTTCCACAGTCGTTGGTGTTTTGTATTGGTGGATTTCAGACTGGGATCTAGATATATTACTAATGACGTGATTAAATACTGTCTTGTGTTGCAGTCCAACGTCACCTTCGTACTCTCCAACATCTCCATCATATTCTCCTTCAAGCCCAACCTATAGTCCCAGCAGGTAAGTGATGTGCGTGCGTTTCTGTATTTTGATTTACTGCCTGAAATCTTGGTGGAATGAGATGGTCTTACCTTTTTTTTAGCTTTAGTACGTCCTTCGCTGCATTTTGAAGTTAATGAACACTATTACCTGATCCTTTTTTTGTAAAATAATAGTCTCTTTTTCTTTTTCTTTTTCCTTCCAATTCAGCCCATACAACTCAGGTACAAGTCCAGATTATAGTCCTAGTTCTCCCCAATACAGGTTAGTTGGTTTTTACTTTACAAGACTATAATGCAATGTGATTTATGTTTGTTTCTAAAAGCTTTTTTTCTTGTCTTCAGTCCAAGTGCAGGCTACTCACCAAGTGCTCCTGGGTATTCACCATCATCTACTAGCCAGTACACCCCGCGCACTAGCGATAAAGACAACAAGAGTGTCAAAGACGACAAGACTGGTCATTAGGAGAGAAGAAAGTTGTTACTTTTCACTTTAATCTTTCTGTGCCATAACTGGCTCTTTGGTCATTAATGTGCTTTGTGGAGCATAAGATAGCGATGCTGGTCAGTACAAAATATTTTCTGAAGGATACTGGCTTTCGGCGTCTTCCTATTGAAGATCTAATCGTGTGAATGAGTTGTTCTTCTCTTTGTATGACATCTAGGGGATTGGGAATGAATCAATCTGGTTCTTGCTTTTCGAAGGTAAACCAAATAATGCAACCTGCCCCTCACTCTCTCCGCTCACCCCCCCCCCC